AACGTCGCGGCAAAATGTTGTTGAAAAGCACCGAGTTTTTTAAATGGACTAACAATGAGGTGGAGTTATTGCTACGAGTAACACAAAAGTACAAAGTTGCAAAAGCGAGTGAGAATTAAAGAATTTGAAGAAAAGCTATCTGGAGCATGTACAAACTGATAATAATCTTTAATAGGGCTGTCAAAATTGAAAGCAAACAAAACAACTGCTGTATAATGCCCTCCGCTATCTTTGTTTAATTGGTCACATGACTGCATCACATGACTAAAATGCGTCATCGTTTACGAAGGTCTGCGTTTTCGCTGTCCACACTGCGACTCGAAAGCACCGTCTTCAAATGTATTCGTCTCCGAGAGCGTTTTCAAAACGCTGCGTTTTCGTTGAAGAAATAAACGCCGCCTCAGTGTGAACGGGAGGCCAAAGTGGAGAGAAAACGAAAACGCATTAGTGTGGACGTAGCCTGAACCGCATTATCTGCCAAAAGCTGAGGTGAGATCCTAAAACCTCTGAACCCAACACCTTCCACGCCTTGGTTACACCTAGAAATTCTGTCCATAAAAACTATGAATAAAATCAGTGACAAAGAGCAGCCCTAGTAGAGGCCAACACCCACCAAGAATTAGTCTGTTTTATGACTGGCACTACAGTGACGGGATAACTGGAACGGATAAAAACTGTCACGAAACCGTGATTACTTCAAAGGTTTACTGATGGCACATAATCTGGATATTCTTATGTTTGGGAAAAATTCTGGATTAAATGGGTTACAGGCTGCTGGGGAAAACAAAACACTGACACACAGTAGGAAGTTTAAAAAGATTTATAGAATTTTTAATGGATAATGTGTGTTGAATTTTCATTAAAGTAACCGAACAAGTAAAAAAACAAAGCCTGTGTTCTCACGTGTATAATAAGATGTAATAAGTGGTTTTAAAGAGGAAAAACATAAGTAGACAGGAGGTTTTCCGCAGAGAACATCAACAGGAAAAGTAGGTGGTCTGTATTGTCATTGTATGATCCAATGTTTTGCGTTTAAAGTGCTCTATTAAAACCATATGATAAGTCATGATGAGCTAGGAATGTGATCTGTCAGGCCTTGCATGGTAAGTTCCGGAAGTTAAGAAATTGGTATCATCTTCTTTTGTTTTATTCACCTCCTGACAGGCTGGGCTGAGAAAACAGCCAGGCCTGTCAGAACATGTGTCTGAACATACCAGTGTCATCAAAAACCATGATATTGTTCATCCATATGCAAAACAGAACATACTGACAAGAGACTGACAGTATGCCATGAAAATTCTGATGTTGATGAAGAAGAGAAAAAACAAACTTCTTTGTCTATTATTTGCACATTATCTCATCGGTCCTTTCTCTCATAAATTAATATTTAATATTCACTTGAACTTTTGTAGTATTTTGCCTCATTTTGGAGTCTTTTTTCTGTGAAATCTCCGCACCATTCAGGTCTTTTCTTTTTATCATGACCACATGTTCCCAGAGATCCTGGGCATCCAAAGCATGTGTATTATTTGATTAACCTCACATCCTTAAAATTCAGTTAGTCAGTTTCTAAATTTCATTTTATGCTTTCCCCACTCCAATATGTTTAGGCACAATTGTGAGCAACCCAGAACCTAATGCATTTTGTCTGGTGATAAAATTAGTAAATATCATCACAGACTCACTACAGTGAGAGTTAGAAGCAAATGTTTAAACGTCTCAGACATGCAAAAATGATCATCAATGTATGTTAACCTCTGCAGAATTCATGTAACCATGAGGTCTTTGCTCAAATCAAGTCAAACATAATTCAAATCATATCATAAAGCAAATTTAGAGTGAAAAGAAGCATATCCCCAACACTAATCTTAAAATAAATACAGCAGTATAGATACAAGGAATCAAAGTTGCTCCACACTCCACATGACAAGCCCCTGGCCAATGGCCAACTTCTTCTATCTTGACTTGAGATACAAGAGATTTCTGATCCAGCAGTTACAGTACAGTACATTGCACCATGACCTGACAAATATTCACACTGCAGCAAAATCCTCCCTCTGTAGACGTATTCTTTTTACGTCTCAGCACCCATCCAGCGTCTTCCCCTTATCCCTTCCCCGAGGCGCGGTGCTGTTTTATGAATGAGCTGTTATGCAAGAAAAAGTGACCTGAATACAGACAGACAAAGATGAGGGAGGGGGAGAGGAAGGGAAGG